ATGGGGTATATTAACATCTACAGTATTGTATACAGGTGTACCTGCATGTAGGGACTACCATGGGGTTTTCTTCTGTTTTGATGTACAGCCCTTTCTCTTGTAGTGCATGTTGAATATCTTTCCTTGCACTAAACCGCTTCAATCCCTGCAATTTATAGTAGAAGCAAAATCAGCAACTTTTCACTCACAACAAAATATAAAGAAAATGACAGATTAATTTTATACAGATTAAAGAGCAGATCAAGGAAAAAATTACATTTTCAAAATCATTCGTTTGTGAACAGTGTAGTAGTATGGTTGCAGTGTTTTTGTATGTGGTCTTCATTTTCACAGACATAAAGATTTGAAATATCTTCAATGATATGCAAATGAGATAACATAAGTTCAAGAGTGTGTTACATTTTGCAGTGTAATTATAACGATAGTCATCTATGGAGTGCTGGAGGGCATCATGAAGCCCTAGAACAGCTTAAATCTGACTGCAGCATTATCTTGAAGAATAAGCAAAGGGGTTTTAGTGTCAAAAGTTAATTTTATTGTTTATTATATGACCGTGAATCTTAGAGCCTGGACACTAGCAAATTGAGCAATCTGATTGGATAGATCGCATCGCAGACTGGTCTAGATTCTCCGGTATTAACCGGTCCGATCGCATATTAATCTTATGGCGAAAACATTTTGTCCTTTTCAATGAAAAGTGGTCATATAATAAAACTCTTATCAACTGAGCTTGGTTGGTCTGTACGGGATAATCTTGACCTCGGTCTGTACATTCCAACCTCGGTCAAGATTATCCCATACAGACCTCCCGCTCGGTTAATAAGATCTAAGTATCCATATTAATATAATGTAAGAATGTAAGCAAAAATCACACTAAATAACTACGAACTCTACGAAGCTTTAAAGACGATCTATAAGCTAGTAAGCTTGGACCAGCTTGCAGCTAGCACTACTTCAAGTTATGGGACATATGGGATAGTATGACAGTTGACAATCACAACACAAACCAGACCATTGGCACTAAGGATGGCTAAAATATCTTTTGTTTGCCTTTTATATCGTGTTAACATATGATCTTGAGTTATTTCTTTTTATTCGATGAATGGGCTGGTGTAGTGGCATGGACACGGATCTGTTGGAAGTTTGATCACTACGCTTGGTGATGTGGAACACAAACCGTGTCTCAAAAACAATCCCTTTCAAGATGAATTTCAGAGCTCATAATAAAATGATATTCTAGAGCTACAAAATGGAAAAATCAGATTCAAATCAATCAACTTTATCCGTAATCTAAATACAAATGTGATGAGTTGACTTGACATGTGCCGCTACAGCAAGGTGTCACTTTCAATTTCTCTGTCTAATTTACTTCCGAGGTTGAGTTTATCATCTGTAAACAGATGCCTTAAAGAAATCTTTATTTCTTTGTGAAATGATGCTCTAGAACTCCAAATGCAACAAAATGATGTTCTTTAAATATGCCGATAAAGGCATTCCGAACGTTGATTCGGGCCGAGAGTGCTTTGTAACAACAATGGCAACCTTGATCACATGAAATAAAAGTTTTAATCAATGAACATTTCTTAGAATTATGGTTGAATTCCAAAGGCCTAGGGCAAAAGTCGAACTTTCCATGCACCGAACTTAATTACATCAAAGAATGCCGCCTCATTATCACCTGATATCCATTGTTTTTAATGAGTTCGGTGCATGGAAAGTTCGACGTTTGCCCTAGGCCTAATGCATCTGAATGATGTTCCTCAACTTCTAATACATCTATTAATATCGTGTTCTAGAACCAATTATCTATGACAAAATTCAAGAAGTACATCACTTAACTATAGAGAAGTGGTGTTTGCCAGCTTGTAGATATCGTTTTTAACACTGTAATGATCGTGAAACTCCAAAAGTGATCGATTTACACGGGTCCGTAGCACCATAATTATCGTTAATCTTCTTATTAAATGAGTGTTAATAGAGACTAGGGGCGTCATAGTTTATACTGGTGGCATCATGACAAGGGGGCATCATGACAAGGGGGCATCATGACAAGGGGGCATCATGACAAGGCAGCGTCATGGATGGGGGCATCATGACAAGGGGGCGTCATGACCGTAAACCAAAGAATTTCTTAATAAAGAACCAATATCGATAACTAAATCTTACCACAAATTTCTTGTATTCTGGGAGAAAGTCAGTGATATCACAAATCAAACCATTATCATCCATCATGTTAATAAATGGCAGGTTATGTCTTTCACCAACAGCATAGTCATTATGATCATGGGCTGGAGTAATCTTTACAGCACCTTAAAGAAACAAAAAGAACCTTAATGGGAGTTTTTACCAGCCTTGGTTTATATACAGAAATGATTAAAATATCTAAGGGGATGTTCTTATGTTTTAAGCTGAACATAAAAACAATTTGTAAAATGGATTGTTTTCTGATACATATAAGGATGTCATCACTCTAATATTACTATTATTATATACAATGTCATATTTTATGCATTTGGTAGGTTCAACAAAAAAAAGCTAAATTACAGGTTGACGGGCAATTCAATCGGGCATGCTTTCTGTACATATCTACATCGAGGGATAGTAACCTCCAGGATTACAAAAGAAGAACTCCCAAATGCATAGAAAACATTGGCTTAGGACAATATTTAAGGCCAAGAACAACAATAGTAAATAATTTTATGAAGATAATAATAATATATATATTTTTTTGTATTCTTTAATCTCTTGTTTTTTTGTTTGTTTTTGTTTTGGAAGTCGCACTGATTGTTAGCTTATATGTTTAGAAAACTTTGTGTTTCTACGACTGTGAAAACAGTAATGAAAACAGTTTACTTTGAATCTGAAATATATTTTTTAACACATGAAATACTTATCAATTATYGTTTTTTGATAATTGAACTAGTTTTCTAGTGCTATAAGGAGTGTTTCGTAACGCCATGTTGGCATGATTATCACACTTTTGATGCACAATTTATCCTTAAAAAAATAATTTTAAAAAATCAAAACTTTTTAAATCACATGGTTACCCCCTTTATCTTTTGCTCATCATGTAATAACTGTACTAAAGTAAATAAATTATATATATCACACAATTTTAAAAATAAATAACGGTTGTATCAATACAGATTAAGAAAAAATTAAGCATCCCTTCAGGATATCTCATTACACTTTTGAAGCCAAAATTTAGTTTAAAAAATATTGTTTGAGATACCCAGATTTACATAATATACATTTTATAATGAGCACAACTGGCTGATTATTATAAGCCAGATTCAGGCAAAATCTAACAAAATTGTTTGAAATATGATTTGAGAAATATTGGTGTTTACACACAAGAACAGCTCCCCAGATGCACTGTTGACTGACTGTTTGCCATTTTTCAGTCAATAACCCACCGTTAGCCACTCTCCCTGTTGTTGTGTGGCCAACAGTTTCTAAACAACAGATATTACCTAATGGCTGACAGTTGGTTGAAAAACAATGAAATGATTGAGAAATGACCACAAAATGATCGAGAAATGGCTATGATCAATGGTCAACAGAGAGCCATCCAACAGTGGACATGTTGTTAACTCACTAGCATTCGACAGTTCACTGTTACATGATCAATAACCCACTGTTGTGAGATCAAGACAAGGGTATGGCCATTAAAGGACTGACAAATGAGGTACAGTCAGTCAACAAGGCTTCTGGGGTGCTGTTCTTGTGTGCTATCAGTATATATTGGTTTACAAGACTAACCTGTTCCAAATTCAGGGTCCACCATATCATCACAGACGATGGGGAGCTTTCGATTACAGAAAGGATGCATTGCAAAACGGCCATGTAGGTGCTATGTCAGGGGGAAACACATTAAATATCAAGCTTTTTTCTATGTTATCTAACATTGTTTTTGAAAAAAGAATTCAGCATATATTTACTTGATATCGTTTGTCTTGAGGATGGACTGCAATGGCTGTATCACCCAACATTGTCTCCAGACGTGTAGTAGCAACAATGACTTTCTCATCTGAAAACCATTAAAATTATTTTAGGACTAATGTTGTTTTATGACATACGAACAATACATGGCCTGAAAGTGTTATGGAATGAAAAGTATTGTGCAGGAAAACTACTTTTAGCAATGAATTTAAACAGAAAAAAATAAAATTAAGTTTACTTTCTTTCCACTCTGAAGTAGGACTCAAGTTAAGTAGGACTCAAGGTATGTAGGACTCAAGGTCTGACACTCTTGAGTGACCTATTGTCATCCCTCCCCTCCCCCTTGATATTTGAGACCTTGCTACAGGCCTAGCTGAAGACTGATAGACTAACATAGTTATGGCTTTTTTAACACAGTGCTTAACTTTTCTTCTTATTTATAACCTATTGATCACATAAACATAATATATAACAGTTAATGTTACCAGTGAAATTAATGGTGTTCACACGATTTAGTTTATGTGCAGACTTTCTTTCATATAAATTTGCTTAACAAATAAGACATTTGAGTACCTAAATCCTGGATGGGATAAGCAAAATGAACAAGAACTCCAAACTCTACTTTATGTTCATAACCAGGCACTTGTAAGTGGGTGCGACCTGTCAGCTCTTTTTTCTCAACCTGGAGAAACAATAACTTTGAACTTAAGAAACAAAACAGTTTTACTGAGAGCTAAAAGTTCCAATAAACAGCTTTACCTCAATGTCAGATATAGCTGAGTTCAAGGTGCAGGACCAGTTAACAAGACGCTTGTTGCGGTAGATCAAACCTTCATCGTGAAGACACACAAATGCCTCTTTTACAGCTTTAGAGAGTTTCTAGAATTTTAGGAGAAATAAAATAGAATACAAATTAATAATGGGACAGGAAGAGATAACTAGCTAAAAACTAGTGTGAGCTGCGTCRGTGTTTCTAACAAAACAGTAATGATAAAAAGGTAAATTATACGCCGTGAAAAGATGACGTTTTGGACGCTAGTCCTTCGTCGGAGTAAAAGAGAAAGAGGTGGTAAAAAGGAGTGTTTATATGATAGAATAAGACAATTAGAACAAGGTAGGCAAGGAAATAAAAACAAAGAATCAAAAGACAAAAGAAAGGGTTAGCTGATAGCAAAGTGTTCATTAATCCTGTTGGGACTAAGAGTGCCCAATGATGGGATAGAATTTTTTAAAAAAAACAGTCAAAACTAGCTAGTATAGTAATGTGAAAATATATGCACTCAAGTGCAGGGTGTATTTTCCTCTAATACAATGAGTGAAAAGTCTCAGTGTTTTCCATTAAAAAAATTCAATACATGTTACTACCATAAGTAAAGAGTATTTTATCAATTAACAAAAACATAAATTAACAAAAAGCACTGCATGAGCAGTTTGATACATAGTTTGATCAGAGCACACAATATATCTAAATCATTAAATTTTATTCTC